GTATGCACTGGAAAGTGGACTGCGCTGTAATGGGAAGAGCTGTGGGGAACAAGGCCCGGAGCGGAGTCTGAACCAGGCCCGGCGCGGGAGGCTCCCCACGGGGTAGGTCTCCAGCCCCAGCGGCTCAGCCCGTGAAGGGGGACGGAGCGGGTGACACACAGGCAGTCGCCCCAGAGCAAATGGCAGGAGGACGTGGAGGGTGAGGCCAGACGCTGCTGGGAGCTCAGCACCAGACCCTGAACCCCGGTCTCCAGCCTGGCGCAGGCCGTGTCCGGTGGCAGAGGGAGGGATCAATGTGCACCTTTGAGTGCAAGGCTGTTGTTGGAGGGAACTAGAGGGTCCCAGTCCAGAGGCTGAGTGGCCAGAAGTCAGGCCCGGGCAGTAAGCAGGGCCACTATCCAGGGCCGGCCGTGTGCAGGCGTGGGGACGAGGAGGAGCTTGCAGAGGCACCCCCAGGAGTCCGGGCAGCACCGGGCATGTGGAGGCCCCATCGGAGGGACCAGGGCAGCTCAGGCTCCCGAGATGGGACCCGAAGAGACTCGGACCTGGGATTTGCAAACTGGCCGGACAGTTTCTTCCTGAAACTGAAGGGCGGGCAGCAAGCACCCGAGTCCTATGCGGAGGATCAGCTCTGGACACGGAGGTGGCAGGAAGCTGGGCGCCTTGTCTCTGCTCTGACACAACTGGGACGTCGTGCGCCGCTGCCCTCGCGGCCATCTCCTCGTCGCGGGTGCGCTGTTCTGAGCAGACAGCGAGGCCAGAAGGCCAGGAGGAAGCTGGGGCCTGGCAGATAACACTCACAAAGGTCATCAACCAAGCTCTTGTTTTATTTTCTCCAGAAACAACGTCCCCAGTCAACCCTGAAGGTCACCGCTCACCCCTTCCCACGGCCGAGCTCTGCTCATCTGCACAAACTGCTGCCTTGACCAGACTCCTGTGGGACAGTCCCCTTTCACCCAGGCCCTGCGGTCATCGCCTGGGTCCCTCCCGCAGGAGAGGCGGGAGCAACGTGACCGGGACCCCGTGTCCCCGAGCCGGGGTCCCGTCCCTGTGTGACTCCGAGTGGCCGGCGACTGTCCCCCACCACAGTGATGCCTGGGACCAAAGAAGAACAGCTATTTTTGTCGTCTTCCCTCCGGTGTTAAAAACAGCTTTACAAAAGGACTTGCTCTGGAGAACGGTTCGGATCTGGCAAACTCAGACCCAGGGAGAAAAGGAGATGGAAGATGATTCTGCAGAGGAGCCTGGCCCAGCTTTTACCCTCGCTGCCAGCTCCCTGTCACAAGTCCCCAAGGGATCGCCCCTGCCTCAGCTCAGGAGGGACAGAGGGAACCGAGGCGGCAGGACGCGGGGAGGGGCCCGCCCAGACCAGGGAGCCGGGCCTCCGTCCTTCCTCACAGCTGCATCTTCACGCTCCTTCCTTCTCCCTTCCATGTTCCGGCCTCCACCTTCCCTCTCCCTTCCTTGCCCTCCTCTGCTCTTGCCACCTCTTGACCCCTGCCCCCCTCTCTCTTTCTCCCTGTTCCTCTCCCCTGGCAGCCCGTCCCCCTCCTCGTCCTCCTACTCCTGCTCCTTGGTGAGACCGCGGGTGGCGTGTCTGACTGCTCTGCGCGCCTTTCGCTGGTGACCTTGGGTACATTTCTGAGCTTTCCTATCCCACCTTCCCTGCCACCGTGGACAGGTACTAAGGCGTTTGGTTCCGATTTTGTTCTAAGAGTTAAATAAAATAACGTAGAGCGCTCAGCGGAGGCTTGGCAATCAGTGAGCGCAAACGTCAGATGCCGCCATTGACTTCTGGTTTCCTTGGAAACCCAGTTCCCTCTTCAAGCTTTTCACCTCCATGGACAAGCCTGGGATGCAGCTGTCACCACCCAGCTCCTGCGTTGCCCCTTGGCATGACACGTCCAAAGAGTTAGCCTCTGTGCCCAGTGAGCCCCTCCCGAGCCCCCTCACTCAGCGTCGCCCCATGAAGGAGCAACGGCGCCTCCTTTCCCGCCACACTGTGGAGTGACGCCCAGATGTTGAGTGACATCCAGATGCCGGAGAACCAGAGCGACGGGCATTGAAACCGCGGGCGATAATGATCAGCAGTGATTTTGTTGGTCGTCATGTAGGTTAATGGCCTCAGCAAACACCTGCTTTGAATCATCTCCGAATCAAGTGAGTGGAGCCGTGTCGTTGCAGACTGTTCGGGTTCGGCTATATGCGAGCGTGTACCTGCCGGTGTTGCTCTGATGCCATTGTGCCCCTCAGTCTGACTGTGGCTGACGGGTGTGGGGTTTTCCCATGGAGGTGGTTCGTTTTTTTCAAGTACAGTTCCCATCACTAACACTTTGTATTAGTTTCAGGTGCACAGCCCTGTAGTTAGACAATCATGTGCCTTACAGAGTGGTCCCCCAGGGATATTTCCAGCGCCCACCTGGCACCATCCCTACTTATTACGATATTATTGACTCTCTTCCCTGCTCTGGACTTGACATCTTCATGACTATTTTGTAGGAGGTCCTTTTTTTCTTTTTCTTTCTTTTTTTCTATTTTCTCCTCTATCATCTCATTTCCAATTTTAAAAACTGAAGCTCTGTTAACCTGCAGTGGCCAGAACAACCAGAGGTGCTGTGGGGAGGGGTGTTCCCCAAAGTCCAGTTTTTGTTTGCAAACTGCCGTTACCGCCGTGAGTCCCTAAGTCCACGCTCTCCATCGGCGCCCTCCCCAGGCGGCAGAACCCCGGCACGGGGAGTGCATGGCAAGTGCAGTTCTCAGAGTGCGTGCAGCCCTGAGGCCGACAAGCAGCCCCACAAACACGGACCAGACACCTGCCTTCGCTCGCCATCCTTCATCCTTCGTTCACTTGGTTCCCCGGAGGGTCCAGAGGTCCTTTGTGGCTACACAGCCTGGACCGGGGTCTCCACAGCTGCCCCAAAAGGAGAAGGGCGAGCTGGCCAAGGCATTGGGCTCCACCCTGACCACATGGGTCTGCAGAGGCCTGCCCTCGTCCACCCGCCTGTGGGTTTAGGTGAGCGCACCGTCTTCGTTCAGATCCCAACTGGGCAACTGTGACCAGGCCGTCCCTCCTCCGTGCCTCCCTCCTCCTGTACACACAGGAGAGGCTTTGCAGAAGCATTACCCGCGGCCGGCTTCTGCAGCCTAGGGCTGGTGTGGGAATTAAATGTGTCACTGATGACACTTATAACGACGGAAGGTGTTATTCATGCCTGGGCACCATCTGCACATAGCGGGTAGCACTGTTTTCCTAGACGAGTGGACGAAAGGCTGTGGTACATCCACACCAGGGACTATCATGCGGCTGTTAACAAGAAGGGTCTCTTACCCTTTGAGACAGCACGGAGGGACCTGGAGAGTATTGTGCTAAGCGGAATAAGCCAGTCGGAGAAGGACAAGTATCACATGATCTCCCCAATATGTGGAATGTAATGAACAAAATAAACTGATGGACAAAGTAGATCCAGAGACATAGAAGCATCGAACAGACTGTGGAATCTCAGAGGGAAGGGCGGGGGTCGGGGGGGCGGGGGAGAGATGAACCAAAGACCTTGTATGCACATATGCACAGCCCACGAACACAGACAATAGCGGGGTGGAGGCTGGGGTTGGGCTGGAGGGGTCACTGGGAGGAAAGGGGGCTTCTGCAATACTTTCAACAATAAAGTGTTTAAATGTGCCCTTGGTCGCCTTCAGGAGGAGCATCAGCACATATTTGTTACTTACTTTGTGGCCAAACACCAAGAGGAAGGAGGGTGGGCCGGGGGGCGGAGGGCTCTGCGCGGCCTATAAGACCAGAGACGGTGTCTGCCCCGGGCGGCCAGCGAGCCAAGCACCTGGTGCCCTGTCCTGGGGGAGGGGACCGGCTCTCACCTGTGCTGAGCTGGGACTGTAAACGTTTCCTCTCAAATCTATGAGACTTGGGTTTATTTGTGTCTTTTTCTCTGGAGAAGGTCCAGCGCTTCATCAGATCCGTAAAAGGGTCTGTTACTAACCGGCTTCAGACCCTGCGCACCTGACGCCTCCCACGTGTGACTCTCATGGTGAGAAGCAAGAATTCAGGAAGTGGGGCTGTGGCGACAAACGTGGGACCCGGGACCGTGAAGGCAAACATTCGTGCGTCAGGGATTCACCCCCGGGGCTTTGCAGCCCTCTGCCTCCTCCCCCGCCTGCTGCCCCCGCCCTCCCCAGGGCAGGACTAGAGGTGAACTCCGCCCTGCAAACCCGCTGCACGTGGTCTCTGGAGCCACGATGGCCCTGGCTGTGTGGCCAAAGGTAGCAGAGGTGGCAGGAACCGAGGCGCACACACTATTCATGTTCTGCTTCTCCCCTGCTGCCCACAGCGGGGCGTGCTAGCCTCTCCAGCAACCCCAGCCCGGCTCCTCCTGGCCCGCGGTCACCTATGTGCACAGGCAGGTAGCTCGCATGCAGAGCGTGCCTACCCTTGTTAGTAAGATGCGTGTGTTGCCAGCGGCGTGGCTCAGTGTGGACCTAGGAACCAGGAGGTCCCTGGTTCCATTCCTGGTCAGGCTGCATGCCCAGCTCAATCCTCAGTAGAGGACGTGCCGGAGGCAGCCTATCGATCATTCTTTCTCATCATCGATGTTCCCCTCTCTTTCTTCCTTCCTCTCTGAAATCAGTAAAAATGTAAGAAACAAAAACAGATGCATGTTTCCTGGGCAGCACCCACCAGGGGCACATGGGGAGGCACAGCAGGGCGCTGGCCCGCAGGGCACGACCAGGTGCTCTGCGTGAAATGCTGACGAAAAAAAAGCACACGTGACTGAAAAGCCCACTGGAGATCGTCACCTGGATATTCACTTCTCGCTCTGCGGCCCGCACACCTGCCCGGGAGGCGGCTTCCGCCAGTCCGGCACCACCTCGTCACTGCACGGTCTGTCACGCGCTTGGACCCTAGAGGAACCGTGAAGTGTGTGCAACACGGGGACACTATGGGGACCCGGGACACGCAAGTGAAACTGCCAGAGACCAGGAGGGGCGGACGGAGACATGCATCTTTAATAAAACGGCGTCGTGGGCACCCCCGTGGAGCTGCACGTTGAGCCCGTGGCTTCAGATAACACGGTGCTCACGCGTGTGACGGGCAGGAGGGGGCACCTGGGTGCTTACAGGCGTGGCTTCAGGAGGATGAGGACAGGGCTTCCTGGCCACTCATGACCTTCTCGGTGACCCTGCACCTCAGTGGATAACGCAGGACAGTGAAAGCATCGTACAAAACATCATAAATAACAGAAATCTTCAAGTAGTTCCTGCACCTCGAAGTTGCAGCAGTTCCGACCATGACGACCCTTTTCATCCTGCGCCTCATTTGGTCTCGGCACCAAGGAACAGCCGCCCCCGCCCCACGCGGCGCAGTGAGCAGGACGCCGCTCAGGAGCGACTCCCGGGGTCTTCGGTTGACAGAGATGAGCTCCCTTTTACAATGTCGCTTCCCAGGGCTGGTTTAGAGCCGAGGCACACAGCACCTCACACTAGTGATGAGCGCCTGGCCCTCTCCATCCATTCTACAGGAACGATGATGTCTCTGCGTGTGCACACACATGTACACACATGTACACACACATGTACACATACGTGAACACAATAGATCAAACACATCTAAACACCTAGCTATGGAGGAAGTCCTGGCTCACAGAATCCCTGGAGCCTGTGGATGTCACAGGACGTGGACTCACCCCCGGCCACCCTGAGGCCAAACGGCTGAGCAGAGAGAGCTGCCACCACCTCTCCACTCACTCGCAGGGCCTCTAAGAAAACGCGGGAGACGACGGGGAGGAGCGCGGAACAGACACTACATCTAGTGAGCGGCACGGGCGGCAGTGCGGGCACCAGCGACTTGAGGAAGCGGCGGTAGGAGTCCTTCTCCATCAGGTGGAAGATCTTCCTCTGGGCCTCGTCAAAGCAGCTGGCGGTGGGCGCCAGCAGGTTCCGGCGGGTCTGCTCCCTGGTGCCGGAGTCCAGGTTGACCTGAGGGCAGAGGGGCGGTTAGCACGGCGCTGGGAGGGCGGGGAGCAGACCTGGGCTCCCACACGTGTGGGCAGGCAGGTCTCCTCTCTCCCACATGCTGGGCAGATCCAGCAGAACCCGCCATGGTCATCTGACAAAGGCCTTTCTCAGCTGACCTGCGTGGATGTCAAGCTGATAATAGTGGGTGCACGGCTCCTTTTTGTGAGTCAGCGGCCTGCAGGGCCGAGGACCGAATGCCACCCCCCGGGAACGTCCTGCCACCAGACTCCTGGGAGCACCCACCTCCTGGGTCGCCTGGACCGAGATGAACTCCTCGTAGATCTTCATGGCCTTGGGGCGCAGCTTTGAGGGCGACCTGGTTCGCTTGTACTCCTCACAGCGGAGCCAGAACTCTACGTTCTCCTCGCTGTGCTCCGACCGGAGGAACGCCCTGAACGCCGCCAGCCCGCCTGCGACCAGAGAGCAAAGCCGTCACCACGCTGGTGACGGAGCCCAGGCGCTGGAGGGAACAGGGCAGGTTCGAGCCACCCCACATCCCGCTTTTGTGGGGTCACCTGGGGCCAGGTAACCTTAATCTGTCTGTTTCTATTGGAGCCCAGCTGCACACCCTGCTTCAGTGGGTTTGGGAAAGAGAAACTGAAGTTGATTCCGCAAGAAATCTCAATATTTGGAGTTTTCCTCTACCCTTTCCCCACAGTGTCTGCGTGAACCACCCCTGCAGATGACCAAGCTCGGGGGTCACAGGCCTAACAGGCTGACTCCCCTAAGCCTGCCATGTGCTGTGTGAGATGCGTGTATCCAGGGCGGGTGACCCCAACCCAGAGGGGTGGTCAGACTTACATTCATGGCTGATCAGGTTTTCCAGGGACTCAGCCCACTTTTTGACTTCCTCTTGGCTCACCCTAGAGAAAAAGAATTTGAATGCCACAACCCAAAACCGGGAGGAAGCGTAAGATCCTAAATAAAGTGCAGGTATTTTTCTCTCCCGCCCTTAGCCGAGCCTGGTGTTGGTTAGAGCACCCCCCTCCGCCTCCCCCCTCACCCTCCCCAAGGACATTCTTACTGACATCTAGCTTAACTGGGGCCGTGGCTTCCCCAGCTCTACCATACCCTGTCC